TCTTATTACTAAGGAAATACAAGCAATGGTGCTGTGGGCGATGAGGGTGGTGGGGGCGGTGGGAATGGGTGGGGCGCGGGGGACGAGGGTGGTGGGGGCGGTGGGCAATGGTGCTGTGCGGTGAGGGTGGTGGAGGCGGTGGGAATGGGTGGGGCGCGGGGGACCAGGGTGGTGGGGGTGGTGGGGGTGGTAGTAGTGTGGAGGCGATGAGGGCAGGAAAGAGTGGTCATCGAGAAATACAAGCAACCCTTCGGGTGCAGCACGGGCGCCGCCCCACCGGGGTTCGGCGGATATATATATATATATACACACAGACATACATACCTACGTACGTACGTACGTACATACATACATACACACATACAACCACATACATACATAAGTACATATACACATAAGTACATAAACGCATAGATACACACATACATAGGTACTTCAGGTCAGGCAAGCATCGTGAAGGCGAAGAAAAGAGCAGATATGATCTCCAGGGCATACCGGCAGTCGTCGTTTGAAGTGCGTGAGAATAAGGTTTGGGGTTTTGGGTTCAGGGTGGATGGGCAAGAGCCCCTGCATCTCGGATTAAGTACGTGATGTCTTCGTGGTTGCCTTGCAAGCCCCCATACTGCACGTAAAGCTTGCAGAAGTTGTTAATCACGATATAAAGCTTCAGCATGTAGTGCAATCCAAGACCATCTTTCGGCAAAGAGCCCCTCATGACCCTAGGACCCTGAACCCGAAGTCCACCGAACCTAAACCTTGCAGACTGAAACCCCCAAAAAACCCGAAGACCTCAAACAGCCAGGAAGTGCCGGAAAATGGCATCGCCAAGTTTCGGCCTCTGTCGCTGTGCGAGGGTCTGACAGTGGAAACTTTAGAACATCCTCTACGAAAGGGCTATCGTTGGATAGTAATGTCATTTTGGGCTATATTGTATCCTTAAGATGTTCAGCCTTGCAGGGCTGGGCTTCAATTCGGAGTCTGCATGACCTCCCGAGCATGTGTGCTCGAGGTGCCCTCGATACACCGCAAATTGGACAACGCCGATAGTTGATTAATTAATCTCAGCAGGCTTGCGTGGTCTTCTAGAGCAGCGGCCTCATAAACAAACAGCAAGTGCCACTTGATGTGAACATTGCTAGTGAACGCAGGTGAGCACGCAGTGGAAGACACATGGCTCGTTCTGATGCACATGCCAGTGCATGTTACAATGTCTACAGCCGCTGTTCGCACTGAGGTGATGTCGGAGTATTTCCGGAAGTTGATCAGGCCTGGGACGCTGCATCATGCATTTGGAAGGTGCAGTGCGGCCAGCAGACAGAGTCGTTCCAAGGGTAGTCACTGATCCGACAGGCTGGAAGGCTTGCCTGCTTGAAGGGAAAAGAGAAGGACCTAAATGGGCGACCCCTCTCGTGGAACCGAGTGGCGTGATGAGCGCCATTCAGGGTGTTCGAAGTGCGGTTCCACCTGCCGTTTCCATAGGGCTGTCGTCCATGAGAGGCGGGATCCGCCACCGGCGGCTCACATCCGCTTTCGCTGTGCAAAGCTTCACCGCGTCAGCGACGGGAAGGCTGCGGTGGCATCGGGTTTGGAGTGCAGATGGTGACTTTGCTGAGGACGTTCTCAGGTTCTGCAACAGTCTAGCTATCCTTGTGCACCTCTCCTTCACTTCCTGACGAGTTGGCACATGCCTGCGAAATCTATCCCAGGGTTCAGGGATGCTGGAAGCAGGAAAACGAATACAACACGATCTATGACGTGCTGAAGTCGCGGGGCTGGAAGGAGACAGATGTCGATTCGGAGCCTCGTTCGCCTTAGACTTCGCAAGGGCGGCTAAGGTTATCACCACGTTCTCTTGTGGAACCTGCAAAGAGTTTCCATTGATTTTGCTGACCACCTTGACAATCACTCAACCGTAAACCCTAAACCCTAAAGTATCCAGAAGAGTGTAGACATGGATTTGTCAGCACCTGGCCCCACAGTTCCAGATCCAACAGCATCGCAGAAGGTAGCCGCTCGTGCTTCAAGTTCTGCTTGCATGAATGCAGACATCCCACGGCTCCTGACATTGCGGCTATATGCTCCAATTGAGAAAGAATGTGGAACTTGCAAGTAACTACGGGCCGAGGCTTCAGCGTCGTTGCAATCTTTCAACACATCAATGGAGAAGTATGGCAATGTGCCACCCCACAAATCTGCCAACGATGCCTGGTTGTGGCGTTGTTCTGTCATCGCTACAATGTAGTCTAACTATGATCTGCTTCAGGAATCAGTCAATATAATCCTCTCCCCAACAACATGATATAATATAGTATACTACAGTAGTATATATTGGAATATATTTCTTAAATTATAATTATAATACAATAATATAGTGTAATAATATTTCAGTTCCAGCTGAGGACTGGCATATCTTTTGGACTGACAAGGATTGGATCCATTCTGTTTTCGACAAGATGCACCTGGACCCGGGTCGGTTGAGACTGTTTCCAGGTTTGGGGTGTAGTGTAGACTCTTCGTTTGCGTTGGGCTGAGGGATGGGATTGGCTTTTCTAGGGCTTAGAGGTTTGAGGTCTATAGGGTGGAGGGTTTACGGCTTCGGGCTTCGGCGTCAACTGTGTTTGTGGGAAGCTCACATGAGGATCCGTCGAAAGTCGGCTTACAGTCAGGTGTTTAGTTAGTGCAATGCTTTCCCTAGAGCCCTAGAAGGGACCATAGTGTAGAACAGCCCCACGCCCCATAACCCGCCGCAGACCTCAGAACCGTGTCCCGAGGCTTCAGTTTCAAGATTTGGGCGGGCTGCATATCTTGCAATTTTCAAAAGAGTTTTTGACGAGAAGTTTTCCGGCAGACTTGTTGCCGAAATTGCAGTCAGCGAAGTGCCAGTCTCGGGTGTAAGGTTAACGTCCGCAGGACCCCCATCAGCATGTGAACCACTTCTTGAACCACTACGAGCTGACGAGAAAGGACCTCTTGGTGAAGAGCCATGGCTGTCATTGACAAGCCATCACTGTTCTGCTTGCCATTGCATTCCTGTGGTGACATGCGGCTGTTGGCGGAACGTGCACGGTGACTAAGGAACATGAAGAGGATGAAGCGGCAGTGTGAGAAGGAGCTTGGAGCATGTGCAAGCAGCCACAAAACATCAGATGTTCGACATTGTCTCAGCAGAAGTAACTGTTCTGTCTCTGCGGGTGGGCCAAGGCACAGCAAGGTCGTGTGCAGCGGAGCCTGTGTGCATACTGGATCTCACAGCGCTTCTCAACATTGCAGATCACGATCAGCCCTGATATTGCACATCCCACGTTGATTTATGTACAGTCCTCTGCCACACCAACCGACCTGCAGCAGTGCTGATAGCAGAGAGTGCAAGTCAGTCCAGTCAGTCAGTCCATGAGTGAGTCAAGTAGTCAGTCATTCAGTCGGTGAGTTAGTCAGTCAGACAGTCAGTCGGTCAGTGTCAGCTAGTCAGTCGGCCAGTCAGCGCACCCTAGACTCATCAGGCTAAGTAGCTGTCCAGCTACCACTTTGCCCATGGTAGATTGCTAGCCAGATGGTTTAGCCATTTAGCCAGCTGCATGGCTGGCTAGCTCAACTTGTAGCGTGACGGGATGGTTTGCCAGATTATAAGACTGACAAGCTTGATAGTGCACTGGCAGCAGGAATAAATATAGTAGGCAAAGTGGCTGCAGTATAACTGTCTTACAGCGGCAGTGCCGCTTAAGAAACTTTGGGTGAGGATACAGTCGGTCTCTGAAAGTAACGAAATATGTAACCAAACAAACCTCGAGAAGAGCCAAACTAGAAATTGGCGACCCTGGGTTAGGGTACCCTCGATTTCTTATCCCAGTTTGCCTACTTGCTTGGGGAGACATGTATGGCCACGCGGCTTGACGATGGTCTCAGTATGTCTGAGTGTCTTACAACAACAACGTATGAGAACAAATATGCAAATGATAGATGTAGTCATCCGCATCGTGCAGAGTGAGACTAGGTAGCCACAGGCTAGCAACCGCCTGCACACACCCTACGCAGTAGTAACATGTGGCGACATCTTGTTGACATTGACGTAGAAACTTAAAAAGCTTTTGAAATCCTTTAGCATGTAACCCAAACCCTTAGCATAAAGAAAAGAAGCAGGAACGATCACCCAACCGAATAGAATGTAGTACGCACAGAAGCAAGCAAAAACGCTCAAAGACGAAAGAGAAAGCATGTAAAAGAAGCAAGACAAAACGCCTCCAGAAGTCAAATACAGCCAGCCAGAGAGCAAGCAACGAAAATGCAGAAGAAAGAGCAGGACTGGCGAGCAGGAAACCACAAGAAGCATAGAAAACACGCAGCACAGCAGGACGGAATCCCAAAGAAGCAAGGAGAAGCACCCAAACAAGTTAGAAAGAAAGAACGTGGAAGCAATAAACAATACCTAAACCGTACCAAAGCCTCAACCCCCTATAACCTCTATGCAAAGAAGCAAGAAGGAGGGGCGACTAGCGGAAGCGGCCCGCTACAACATTTGCCCGATCACCTTCGTGGTTCCACAGGACGAGTGCTCGGTAGGGTTTAGGGCTTATAGAGATGCTTAGGGGGTACATAGGGAAATATAGGATAAGGGCAGACTTCGCGGAGGGTGGCTAGAGTGCGTTTGCCGCTGAGGCTGCAGAGCGAAAGCTGGCAGTTTGGAGCACGTCCTGCAGATAGGGTCGGCTAAAGCACTCGGGACTTGAAGCCCGTAGGGCTTGTTAGCGTTACGGGAGGCTGACAGATGAGGGTTCGGAGGAGGCATGCCCCCAGGCCCTTGCACCTGGTGCAAGCACCCAGGATCCGGTTTTGGAAGCCGATACCGGAAGTAGTTCCCTTCCACGATGATGATGCTCCTGAACCTGTTAACATCTGTTAACTTTGTACCCGAGTTAGTCAGACTGCTTCCAGAGCGGGGCGCATTGCTGCGCAGGAGTACAGCATGTTCGTGGAAGAGTTCAAGAAATGGAACCTGGATGTAACGAGTGCTCGTATTCTGGTCCACCGTAGCCACTCCTCGCGGATTCCACCGAAAGCAGGCCGAAAGCATTCGGAAATCGGTCATCCACGGTTTCAGGAAAGCAGGATGCTGTCAATAGCAGTCCTGTGTATGGCTCAGTCTCGCTCTCCCTTCTCCAGATTACGGGGTAGCCAAGCTCTCACAAGGACAAGGGGGACGTCAAGACAATAGAGCTCCAAAAAGCAACGACCTTCAAGCCTAACCCGGCCGCCAACTCCAGCTTATAAATCGCAGCCGCTTGGGCGGACCCTCCTGACACTCAGGACAGGTTCCACTTGGATCATGAAGCCAATTGGCCGCTCTCAAGGATCCGGCATCTTCTTAGTGAGCCGTGGATTTATTTAGGATGTTTGCTGTGGGCTATCGTATCCATGTTTGTCCACGTGCTGCACCTGCCATTGCTGCTATCATGGCGATGACCCGTAGTGCGGCTGGCTGCTGGCACTGTCCCACTCCTACTCCTAGTCTGACACCTACTCCAACTCCCACTTTCTCTGCTGCTGCTGCTACTACTACTACTACTACTACTACTCCTCCTACTCCTACTCCTACGCCTACTCCTACTACTACTACTACTACTACTTTACTACTTTACTACTTTACTATTACTACTACTACTACTACTACTACCATTACCATTACGACGGCTACTATAGCTGCTGCTGCTACTACTACTACTACTACTATTATGACTACTACTATGACTACTACTACTACTACTATTACTACTACTACTACTACTACTACTGCTACTGTTGTTGCTATACCACATCCTCCACGACGACGACTACCACTACTGCTATCGCCGCTATCGCTCGTTGCTCGAGAACGTTCATACTTTGGTTGTGTCGATTTCCACGGTCATGACGATTAGCAAGAGACAGACGAATGGGGTAGTGTCTCGTCTTAGCCCTTTCCTGGTCACACTCCGGGCAAGACTCATATAGAAGGCGAGGATTGTGCAACAGGAGCATCCTGAAGAACACTAAATTTCGCTGTGATGTGCTGCAGTACCCTGTGCAGCAACCATGTGCACCTCCAGACTTGGCCGCTTTACGCAGGCAGCAAAACTTTTGCCCCCGAACTCGGTGGATGCTGTGGACTTGAACTGCGGCTGTCCCCAGGCGCGATGCAGCGTGACAAGCGAAAAGCCGAGCTTGCATTGCACCCTTAATGCCGACATGTATTTCTCTACTTGCGCTGTTCAGAGCCTGTGTAGTTGCAATGGATACGTCCGGTCGTGACTTTTTCGGACAGGGCATCGCCAGAAAGGGGCACTACGGAGCGTTTCTGCTGTCCGAGCCGGAAGTGCAACTTGCCGTGAACCAGAACCCAGTTCCCTGTCCCTTTGGGGTTTCGGCTTCGGCTTAGGTGTTTCGAGAGGTTGGATGATAAACAGCAGATTCTTGAAGGTTCAGATGCAGTCATATCGGCGCCATTGTCTCCTGTCAGCATCACGAGGATTGAGGGCATTGTCCGGACGCTGGACCGAGAGCTCGCGGTACCATCTACCGTGAAAATCCGGCTCGTGAACGCCAACGAATTACAGGAGCGCGACTTTGCCGCCGAATCTGCTCAAGTTTTGACGTTTGAAGTAGCCTTGTTTGGGCCTCGAGCCTCGATATTGTCTGAGCACGCTCGCAGGACACGCTGAAGCTCGTCTCCCGTTTGGAGGCTCATGGAACGAGACGGTCGATACTTCTATGACCTTCTGAAATACCTGCGCTGGCAGGCCGCAGGTGCCTCCGTGCTTTGCCTTCATGGCCGGACCAAGGCTTGGACTCAAGCCGTCGCCCGATTCCGCGATGTGTCCCGAAGCCTTGCAGGAGATGAAGGGCCAGTCTACTGGCCCACCCAACTGGGCCAAGGGCTCAGCAGCGCATGCAGGGCATGCTTCAGGATTCAGGGCTGCATGCGCGCGACTATAGGTCGCATGGAAGGTAGGCTTCTGCGCACAATGCTGTCAGTGCGCACCAGTGATCTCGAAACCGAAACCAAAGCCTAACTCCGGCCTGCACCTTAAGTACCAATTCGAAAAGCCTCAAAGCCTGTATACGCCGTGAAGCTGCAGTCCAAAGATGGCAAGTTCAGGACGCCATCGCAGCGGTCAAGCGTCGAGTCGGCATCCCGTTAATTGCAAACGGTGGAATCCACACGCTCCCCGGCTTGGTTTGGGATTCCTGGTTTTTGGAGGGTCTGACGCAACATACGAATGGTAGATTCAGATGTGCATCGTGAAACCGCTTGGCCTGAGCCTGCACGAAGGCGCTCGCTGTGGATTTGCTGCTTGTGTTGAAATCTGATGGTTTCACTCACTCAGAGGCTCCACGTATTGATTTGTTGATCAGCGTCAGTCTGACCAAGCCAGCTATTTGCTTGTGCTGCAGCAGCCTAGACTGGGATGCCCATGACAGTGGCCAGTGACACCAGTTGATGCCCACACTCTAGCATGTATGGTTTAAGATGATTTTGGTAGATGTCTGTCGCAAACACAAGCACCGTGCAAGGTTTGAAGACGTCGAACGTTGCATGCAAGCAACGGGCGTGGATGCGGTCCTGCCCCCCAGTGAATACATCTGTGCGGTGTTCAACACACTGTTGATGGTCAATTGGATTTGATTTTCAGGGCCGAAAGACTCCGCAATGTCTGACATGCTTGTGCGAGTTGTCGGCCTGGTGAGAAAAAGCCGCGGATGTTTGATTTGGATCAGAAGCCCAACCCTCAGCTGGATGTGACTTGCATGATTCGGCAAGTCGAAACCCATACGGCCCATACTACCACAACGACGTTACATGCGGAATCGCATGTGTTTTATCCAAGGCACTAGTACTTTGCATAGGCCTCAATTTCTGGTCATACAACCCGGTGCAAAGACATGAGGTAGACCCTCCACAGAAGAACAAGTGAGAAGCATGTCGGTCGCAGAGACGACGCCGGTGGTGGTGGGAGTGGCTCGCTACACACACCGGATCCAACATTCGGATCTCTCGGACGCGCTGACTCCACTGCAGCTTTTGGAGAGAACGGTGACAAGGGCGCTGCAGGATGCTACGCTGAAGGGCGCGGATATCGACTGTGTCGCGACGATGGAGTTCTGGCATGAGATGCTAGTGCCACCTAAGACCCCAAAGCACTATCCGAACCCGCCCAAGTCTGTGGCTACCCTGATCGGTGCATCCGAAGCCATTGAGAAGAATCACTTGTACGCCCACCCCACAGGGGGTAACGGACCCCAGGAGCTGATAAACATTCTGGGAGAGATGATCTCTACATCCAAGATCCGATCAGCAGTTATTTGTGGTGCTGAGGGCCTTGCAGCCTTGAAGAAGGGTCTTGCTGCCGGCATGTCTCTTCCGGGCGTCACGGAGATGCGGAGGAAGCTCTCCGACAAGAACAAGAGCCAAATCGACACCTCGGGCAAGGAGCTGCCATGGGGAGATGACCCTGGTGGTGAACCACAGCGATTTCTCAAGTCCGAAGGCATGGCTGCCTATGTGACAAGGCGGATGGTCCAGACCGGATTGGTAGACCCCACAGTTGCCTACGCGATCTTCGAGCAGGCCTACAGGAAGGAATGCTATCCGAATGTCTCTCGGGAGCAATACCAGCGCGAGCTGGCACGCCTCATGTCCGAGTTCAGTCAGCTCGCAGCTGCGGATCCAGCAAACGCTTGGGATCCACAGGTGAGGACGCCAGAGCAGATCGCGACACCAGGGCCTGGTAACCGCTATGTCGCCTTCCCATACACTCGTGCCATGAACTCCTTCATCGACGTGGACCAAAGCGCAGCCGTCGTCCTGACTCTAGGCACGCAGTACTCATGCTTTGTAGGAGTATGGCAGTATGGTTGATTCTTCCGGGCGGGCTAGATCGTCGTCCTGCCTCTTTAAACAGAGCATCTTCGAATCGCCACTGGGAGGACAAATGTCCGCCATGCTTTTAGGTACAGCACGTCATGTTCTAACACAGTCAAGAGATGGGAGATGATGGGAGGTGATTGTGCGAAGGCGATTCTGAACCCGAAGCTGTTTGCTACGTACCGGAAGAAGATGCTGAGCCCTAAACCATGTACTGTTTGAAGTATGTAGTCGACTGAATTGCTTCATAGTGTCACTGTTTGGTCCACTCAGTGTAGCTGGACTGTTTATGCTATTCACTGCCATCATCATAGTGGTTGCCAGTTGCAATGCTTTCTCAAGGGTCTGGATGTGGAGGGTGGCCGGTGGCAAGATCTGTCATGACCATGATCAGAGCTCTAACGTGTTTAGCTGCACAATCACGACAACTATAGGAAATGACAGAACCGTGGCAAGCAGAAGTTGAAGACACAGCCCCGAAATGGTCGCTTGCAGAGAGATAGGGGCACCTTGAGTTAGGCGTGTTGCACTCCTGGATTTCACTTGCGATTTTCAGGATGTCTCTGGGAGAGGCTCGGCGGCGTGGAGTCCCCGAAGAGAAGTTTGTTTTCCTTCATGCACACTCGGATGTCACCGAGGAGCCTTATCGGATGCTGGATCGCCCTGACTTCACCGTCTCCCCGGCACTGCGCGTGATCCGGCACCGGTTGGAGGAGACCTTGGGGGAGCCGTTGTCTGGTATCAAGCACAAAGAGATCTACTCCTGCTTTCCTGTGGCTGTCCGGCATGCGGCACTGCAGCTCGGTATACCCTTCCTGCATGCCTCCGATATTTGTAAGACAGGCGGGATGCAGTTTCATGGAGGGCCCGGCAACAACTTTAGCACGCACAGTATTGCTTTGATGGTGGAGATCCTGCGCAAGGATCCCGGCTCCAAGGGACTGGTCACCTCAAACGGAGGGATCTTCTCCAAACACTCTGCCGGGGTCTATTCCACTCAGCCTTGCACCTGGGTGCCTCGACACGTAGAGGAGGACCAGGCGCGTGCAAAGCAACTTTTGGCAAAGCTTCACCCTGTGCCAGTGAAGATGAACGACCAACCCTCGGGAGAGGCCACTGTCGATCTCTGGACCGTGGTCTTTGATGTCGAGAACAAGCCGAAACGAGCGATTATCATAGGCACGCTCACTGCAACCTCCGAACGTTTCATCGCCGCCAGCACCTTGGCTGCGCTAACGCACCTATGGACAAGCTCAAGTTGTGCTTACGGGTCGCTGGTCCAGGTTTACGATCCGATGTAGCCTGGCTTTCTGTACTAAGGGGCGGAAGTGACTCAACGCATAAGCCCGTACCCTTCTGATGTATCCCACCTGCTTGGACCCTGAAGCGAGCCAACGCGCACATCAGGTAATGTAGAATCAAGAAAGCATGAACAGCCCAGCTCAAGTCGGTACATGTCGGAATGTTGCATGTGTCTTCAGGTTTTATTTTTCATATACAGTTACATGCATATATATATATACATATATATATATATGTATGTACACACGCACGCATACACACACACACACAAACAAACACACACACACACACGTGTGTGTGTGTGTATGTGTGTGTGTGTGCGGGTGTGTGTGTGTGTGCGTGTCTGTGTGTGTGTGGGTGTGTGCACATGCTGGAAACACACATAGACATACATACAGAGACATACATACATACATACATACATACATACATACACACATGGACATACATAGACATACATCTATAGACACACAACCACAGGCATACATAGACATGCATGCAGTGCATGCATTACATGCATTACATGCCGAGCATATATGCGTACATACAAAGAGACTCATAGGAACCCATGGTCACCCATGTTTATGTCTATGTCGGGTCAATGTCAACGACTCTGAAAATATCCATGCCCATGTCTATGTGGGAAGGGGGGTCACCTGTGTCTTTTTTTTGGGGGTCACTTGTGTCTTTTTTTTGGGGGGTCGCTGGTGTCTTTTCTGCTGGTT